ACAGTCGAGAGCATGCATGCAGTTAAGGGGTGGAATGCAGGCTAGGAAGGGAGAAACGACACGAGGGAGGGGGGGTGAGGAATCATGCAGTCAAGGGAAAAAAAGGGCAGGATTGAGGTCAAGCAGGTGGGGTATGGAAAAACAGGGATGCAAAGGGTCAAAACAAGATGAAAGGGAAGGGGGGGGGGGGGGGGAGAGCATGTAGGTATGGTTGATGCGAGGAAAATGGGTGTACGTGGCAATGAACGGCTTGGGAGCCCACACAACAACAAGAGTAACTACCTGATGGTGGCATCTTTCATCCGTTTCAGGGAATCGTCGGTGTGGTACTCAGCGCGAATAAACTCCTTGTACCACTCGACCATGAGCACGATTGCAGTCCGGACATCTTTCCGTCCTGGGAGATCGATGATGAGAGGCAAGACCTGCATCATCGCACGATGCTCTGAAGCTGAAAAGCAGGCAGTGGATGTAAAGTAGGCCCACGCCGAAGTCAGACGGAGCACGGAAGCTGGTGTGACCTCCTTCAAAATCTTGTATCGCCTAGAGAGAAGGAACGGTTCAGCATGGCGGAAAATGCAAGCAAGGAGGGGAGGAACGGTTCAGCATGGCGGAAAATGCAAGCAAGGAGGGGAGGAACGGTTCAGCATGGCACGGAAAGCAAGCAAGGAGGGGAGGAACGGTTCAGCATGGCGCGGAAAGCAAGCAAGGAGGGGAGGAACGGTTCAGCATGGCGCGGAAAGCAAGCAAGGAGGGGAGGAACGGTTCAGCATGGCGCGGAAAGCAAGCAAGGAGGGGAGGAACGGTTCAGCATGGCGCGGAAAGCAAGCAAGGAGGGGAGGAACGGTTCAGCATGGCGCGGAAAGCAAGCAAGGAGGGGAGGAACGGTTCAGCATGGCGCGGAAAGCAAGCAAGGAGGGGAGGAACGGTTCAGCATGGCGCGGAAAGCAAGCAAGGAGGGGAGGAACGGTTCAGCATGGCACGGAAAGCAAGCAAGGAGGGGAGGAACGGTTCAGCATGGCACGGAAAGCAAGCAAGGAGGGGAGGAACGGTTCAGCATGGCGCGGAAAGCAAGCAAGGAGGGGAGGAACGGTTCAGCATGGCGCGGAACAACTCACTCCAGAAGAATCTTCCGTTCTTTCGGAGTCAGCTTCTTCACAAGGCACTTCATGGCATGCAGCCATATGCCCTGCTCCCAGATGTGCATGATGTCCGGGGGGACAGCGAGGTACGTGTTGCCCCAGAGAGTCTTTGCGAATTCCCAGTCCCACAAAAGGCTCTGCGTTGTGGGTCAAGGACACAGAGTCACTATGGCGGGTCGGGGTAATAAACACAAACAGCTGGCTGCGGATTGGAGTAGGTTCTCATGCACACTAGCCAGTGCAGTATATGGTGTGGATGGAGGGAAACCAGATGAGATGCGCGGCAATGCATGCGGAACAAGCTAGGCAAGGGTTACCTTCACAAAGTGAGTAGAGGTCTTCTTCTTCACCGCCTTCAGCTTCTTCTTGGTCTTTGCTGATTCCATCTCCTTGTACGCATCCTTCTGACTCTTGACAGTTCTGAGGACAATAGTGTCTTCCTGCTCATCCAGGAACTCCTTATCGGGGGGCGTTTGAGTCAACTCAAACGTCATCGCATCGAGGTGCTCCTTATCAGCCAAGCACAACGAGCACGGATGGAGCGAGTTGCATGCCATCGTACAAGTGACCTTAGAAGACTCCGGATGATCTGTCACCCATGAATATAGAAGCGTGAATGCTCTATATTGCACACCGGCACTGTCTTCCACCATCACCCCGCCCCTGCACAGCCGCCAAGGATGAAGGGGGAAACAGGGAGGTAGAGGGGGGATGATGGGATAACACGTCGGAGATGGGAGTAACGGAGTGAGCATGGGCGGCCCTAAGCAAGCAGATGAAGAACGGTTAGGAAGATGGGGACAGCAAGCAGGGAAGGCATTAACGGCATGAGATGGTGGCAAAGCAAAGTTATGACTGAATACAGCGTTGTGGCACGCATGCGAAGGAGGACCAGATGTGAACGAGGGTCAACAAAGGGAGCGGAGAGGGTATGCCTCAGGGAAAGAATATTAGAAGGGTAGTGGGGTGGAAACGTGACGGAGTGGTTGGTTTGACCAAACCAGAAGGCTAATGATGGAAACAGCGGGGTGGGAGGATTATGAATAGGGATGAGGCAGAATACGTAGTACGATGACGGAGATTACTAGGGATGCGCGCCTTTGGGTGACAGTAGTGTTGACTCACCCTTTCAGATGTGAAGCCGCCTTTAAATCTTTAATCATGATCTCTGCAGCGCGCTGGAACACTCGAACCTTTTCTTCCGGCGAGAGGTCAGCTGGGATATTAGGCAGAAGCCCGAGAAGCCCAGTGCCTCCTTTGAGCCACCTAGCCCATTCCGGAATGTTCCCAAAGGACAAAAGAAATGGGTGGGCGGATTGGCGCCCGTTATGTGATAGATTGGTCTGGTCCGAGAACAGAATGAGCGCTATAACTATGCCATACTTCCGCACCCTCTCCTGCCACAGTGAATGAGAAAGTGATGGAAATCTGAATTGGATCCTATGTTTCGACGGTCTTGTCAAACGCGACATGAGCTGGAACCAAACTTACCCAAGCCTCCAGCATCCAGTCCGTGTTTGCAGGGGTACTGTAGCGGCGAACCCCATCAACCTTCCACTCTTGAGGCATGATGGTGAATCCCTTGACAGCTGACATTTTCTTGAACATGGCCTGAAGGAGCTGATGGTGATAATGACGGAAACAAAGATGTAAAACAGACGTGAAGAAACGATGGTTCCCTTTGGTCCGATGGTTTGATCGTCATCACTAAACCCCCACCTCCACTCTAAAGAACGTGACACCGCACCTGGGAGATACTCACTTTTATAGCGTTTCGGCGTTTGAAAGTGAGAAACCCAATCTCGTGATCCACTGGGATCTCCTCGACGATCCATTCGTTCGCCTCTCCAACGTCAAAGGTGTTCTCGTACTTCTCCAGGTCCCGGTAGCTGTTCCAATCGTCCAGCTGCTTTGGATCTAATTTCGGATGTCTAACTAACTGTATCGTGTCGTTTATCACCCCGTTGGTAAGGCCGTGAGACCGTGCCAAAATGCATATTTCCGCCTTAACATCGAGAATTTCCTCTGTAGGAGCTTCTTCCCCCACGAGTGTGGTGCTACACGTATGGACCGCATCAGGAACTCGCTCTGCCGGCTGCTGGTGCTGATCTACTGCGTTCGGAAGTGCTGCTAAGGGAATCGAATGCTTTGGCGCGGGAAGGGTGGCTCTTCCTAACGGGACAAAGGTATACTGCTTCTCAACGTCACGACCCAGCTTCTTTCGTTTAGCAGCCTCTTGAGCCTTGCGTCTTTGGGCTCGCTTACAGCCGTCATGGTTAGCTTGATGGCTACGTACTGTTTGATAGCAGTACACGCGCTTATTGAAAAACTCGCAACCCTGACCCTCCATCGAGCAGATCTGTCCGTAGGACTGAAATGGTGTTTGGCACACCAGCTTGAGATGTGAGTGGTAACACTGCACCGTGGTGAGATAGTAAACTATCGTATGGACGATAGTTTACCGAAAGGCGAGGGAAGGATTTGGCGCGAACACGAATTGGCGATCTGAGCCTGAACATATGTTTCCGGTGACCCTGATTGGCCATTGGTCATCGAGTGTCAGTAGTTGGTTTGCAATTGGTTAGGGTTTGTGATGTACTGCTCGAAGTGCTAGGTCACACTGTTTATTGGTGCGCGACAACCGCGCAGATGGGCGAGAACGCCATGCGACTCATACTCAGCATCTCCCGGTGTAACTGTTTTCGCGTACAAAAACTGCTTTCTTGTCGCAGCAACCTGACGAGGTTTTGTACCCAACTGGAAACAAGTTGGCGAAGGTCGTTTCCGCTTGCGACATGGACCTGACATCCTTTTTGGGGTACACGCCAATTGTGTGTCAGAAAAATACAAGCCGCACCAATGCCATTGGAGCAGGGAATCCTGTCTGACTGCCCAACACTGGACACCAAGTAGACAAGATATCAAGAGCAGGCTATTCGTTGACGACGAATGGGAGCAGGAATTTTAGCACAAAGTTGACCAACGAAGGGCAAGGGCGTGTGGGTCCTTCTCCAGGAGGAACTACAGTATCTGCTTCGACTTTCCGTTGAGCTGGCTGGGCAAGGAATTTCGACCCTTACCTAAGGCAAGATCCTGCTCAAGCTGAGTTTGCGTACTCAAGATATGGAGGAGAAGGGCATACCCAAGTTAGCGCGATGTAGTTTCCGGCACATGCGCATGCCATCCCCGTTTGGGGGATCTCTTGAAATCAAACCCTCAGATTACCGCACGCTGGAAAACGAGCAGTGGATCAGTGGCACGGTTATCGAGTGGCTCTCATCGTGAGTGCCTCTGTGTTGAACACAGAGCAAACTGATTTGTTGACCCTTGATTTTAGTTTCTCACGAGCTTCACCGACTTTGTATATTTTCATGTCGATCCTGCAGTATGTTACACTACGAGTACGGATATGACAATGCGTCGTGGCTTTGCACATCGCCTTATTTCTGGACACTCGTAGCACGCCCGGGGTCGAAGAGGATCACTAGGCAGGCCTATGGACATGACATTTTGTCGTTTAAGCACGTTCTTGTTCCGATTAACAAGGAGTAAGTAGTCGGGTCTTTTTATTCATGTGTAGAACGTACCCATGTGCTGCAAACTAACGACATTGGAGTCTCGATAACATTGCAGTGCGCACTGGAGCCTTGCTGTCATCGAAATTAACCACGCTCCGGGATCCCTTATCCCGATCAAGTGTGTCCTGTGGCATGCGGACTCATATGCAACTCACGTCGACATTGATGGACCTTTGAGAAAGTGAGATATGTGCTTCGTATGAAACATGATTCTTGCGGACGAGTGCTAACGACCCGTACGCTCAATGCGCAGATGTTTGATGCGACAGGTCATGAAGCGCTACGCATGGATCACGGAGACTGAAGCAAAATCGTGGGTAGCAGCGATTCCGTTAAACGCCATCGAGGTATGCGCGTTGGATGCGCGGATGCGTACGGGGGTGGGAAGGGTAGGATGCGCATGAGTGCAATGGGGATGCGCCGATGAGAAGGGGAGTGAGATGAGTGGGCTGAGCATGAGTGCGATGGGGATGCGCGGATGAGAAGGGGGGTGAGAGGAGTGGGCTGCGCATGAGTGCGGTGGGGATGCGCGGATGAGAAGGGGGGTGAGAGGAGTGGGCTGCGCATGAGTGCGGGGGGGATGCGCGGATGAGAAGGGGGGTGAGAGGAGTGGGCAGCGCATGAGTGCGGTGGGGATGCGGGATGAGAAGGGGAGTGAGAGGAGTGGGCAGCGCATGAGTGCGGTGGGGATGCGGGATGAGAAGGGGAGTGAGAGGAGTGGGCTGCGCATGAGTGCGGTGGGGATGCGCGGATGAGAAGGGGAGTGAGAGGAGTGGGGTGCGCATGAGTGCGGTGGGGATGCGCGGATGAGAAAGGGAGTGAGAGGAGTGGGCTGCGCATGAGTGCGGTGGGGATGCGGGATGAGAAGGGGAGTGCGAGTAGTGGGCTGCGCATGAGTGCGGTGGGGATGCGCGGATGAGAAGGGGAGTGAGAGCAGTGGGCTGCGCATGAGTGCGGTGGGGATGCGCGGATGAGAACGGGAGTGAGAGGAGTGGGCTGCGCATGAGTGCAATGGGGATGCGCGGATGAGAAGGGGAGTGTGAGGAGTGAGGTGCGCATGAACAACATTTTTCTGCCTGAATTCGAATATTACACCTAATCCCAACACTATCACCTTCTCGGGCCATTTGCAGGTGCGACAGCAAGACAACGATAATGACTGCGGTGTTTATGTAATGCGAGTCATTCATACTCTCGTCGAATCCGAATTCGGCAGTCTGAATGCGTGCAACTTGGTCGGGACGCCAAGACAGTGGAGGCGGCAATATCGTAAAGATTTGGCTAAGTGGTCGTGTTTCTATGATAGTGCATGCGCCTCTATTCAGGCTGTGTGATGCTCTTAGCCACCTTCGGTGTTGGATAGGGGCTGCATAATCTAGCACTAGACATGAGATTAGCTGAGTATAATGACAGATGGCCTAGTTATTATGCTATCCTGAAAGGTGTGTGTCACGTCATGGTGCTGAGGACCTGGAGTGGAGTGGGCAGTATGGAGTGGTGTCCCACCGAACCATGCATGCATGCAATGAATGGATGGCTGAAGGTGGGTTGGACAGCAGCATGCCTTCAAGAGGCACGGCATACAAAAACGGTGTGTGGTTATACGGTACTAGAACATGTCAACACACAGCGTGCCGCATGTGACTCGTAAGGTTGCACAACAGACACAACGCTGCTTCTCTATCCTCCTTTGCTGAATGCATAGTACCCCTACAATCAAGAAACACTCTGCTGATCTCTTCCAACCAGGCTGAATATGGGATGTTGCATGCCAGAGCAAGACTTGATTTGAATCGTGCTTACACTTAGCAGCCATTTGGTGTATGTGAAACTCCAGTCCCCTGGTATCTTGGTGATGTTGCATATGACAATATACCACGGTATCACCCTTCTCACTGTTCATGGCACTTTCATAAAGGCGGCCTCTGTGACACATTACGACGGTTTTTGGAGTTTGAATTCTTGGTAGGGTTCTTTCTGTGGTTGAGGGTTATCCCTAAATGCGTGACTTGTATGTTAGTCCAGAATCTGGACTCCAGATCCAATCACAAGTACCTGGAGTTTGGTAGAAAAACAAACCAGATGATGTGTTAGAATGATATTTGGGTTGTTATACAGCGCACTTGTAACGCCCATCCTTGTTTTCGATATTGCAACGATGGTTCAAGGGCAACAGAACAGAGTCGTTCTCGAAGCGCGATGAGTTGGACTCGGCATGGATCGTCCTACGCGTGTATTCGAATTTCGCGCTGCCTGTTTGCTGTTGTGGCATTGATTTTTTGTGACATTGATTTTTTTGCGGCTAGTCTAGCTCTGATGTTGACATTCACGCGATCGAAAATACTTAGTAGTATCGCGCTTTTAGTACAATGCAGATATAGGATTGCTAGCGAAACGGCGTTCCAGCCCAACAAGTCTCCTACTAAGACCAGGCTTGTGAACACTCACATACCGTACTGCCAGCACGTACCTTGCAACTTCTAGGGCAGCTGGGCTGCTGCGATCCCAGAACTGGTGCAGGAGCTGAAGAAGGCGCGGAACTCCAGCACGACGTGACTTCATGGGAGGTTTTCGTTAAAGGAACATGCTGTGCCATCTCTCGTGGCGGTAGTTGAGACCACGAAACCCTAAGGCGAAGAGCACCAAGAACGTCACGCTTGTACCAGTTGAGGTTCTCCTCACGATACCCTCCTACGATAGGCATTTCCAAGTGTTGCCTCACTGTGAGTTGCTGCCATAACGCATTGCTGTTAGCAGTAGGCACTTCTAACCTTAGCGCGTTGCAATTACTCGTCGTAGGCACGTCCAGCTATGGTGCAGGCGTAATGCTCTCTAAGGGCGCGTCCAGCAATGGCGCGCTCCTGTTCTCGCTTGCAAGACCTTCTTGGGCGCGGTCCGCAGGCACGTACTGGGATTTCGCACTGCGTTTCTCGCAGGCACGTCTAGCATGCGCGGTGGGATTCCTTGCACCTTGAATACCTATTTAAGCAAGCTCTGATCCATCGAAATGCACTCCTCATCTTGCAATCATTCACTGGACTGGTCTAGCGGCAATAATGGCGGACATCTGCGATCTCGATCAACAGGCCGATGCTACTGCGGTGGTAGTAGGCACTGGAGCTTTACAGCCCCTGGAAGGCGCCAGAACAGGTGCGGAACAGAGGCTTCATGACGAGATGACACCTCACAAAGCTGCTCCGTTAGTTGTTCAGTATCGGAGGAAGAACAAATCTTCTGCACGCGCTGCCGAGGAGTCAGGGGACTCATCATCGGATAGTGACCAGTCTGGTGACGAGCCTTACGCTGGCCGAATTAGTCGCGGCGGTTCAAGCGAGCCGCGGAACGGTCCTAAGGTGAAGCTTCTGGACCAATTCAAACCTGCTAAAGAGAGGAAAGGTAAGCAAGAGCCTTTTAGCTCCGCATAGCGTCTTTCTATGTCTGTTTCAGAGTTGCTCATTGATATCGTGGTTGATTTCGCCACCAATAGAGGTGCTCCACTCGTCACCACTGATCTTGTCGCGCTTTCTTTATGTGTTGTAGCTAAACACGGTGCCAAGAAAGGGAAAAGAGGGAAACAACAGGCGACCGGGGCAACACGACAGCATGAAGCTGTAGACGACGAGGATCACTTGCAAGTGAAAGGGCATGAGCGTGACGGCGAGCGGGGCGGCGAGCGTGACGGCGATCGTAACAGCGAGCGTGACGGCGATCGTGACGGAGAGCGTTACAGCAAGCGTGACGGCGATCGTGACGGCGAGCGTTACAGCAAGCGTGACGGCGATCGTGACGGCGAGCGTTACAGCAAGCGTGACGGCGATCGTGACGGCGAGCGTTACAGCAAGCGTGACGGCGATCGTGACGGCGAGCGTTACAGCAAGCGTGACGGCGAGCGTTGCGGCAGGGTTGGCAAGGGTGAGGGTGATCATGAGGGCGAGCTTGAAGTGAAGCGTGACGCATCCCCTCCTACTGCAGCAGGTGCTCGACAGGATGGTGCAGAGAATGTTCCTGGGTATGGGGGGGGTGGGAGGGAGAGCCGTGGCGGGGAGTTGGAGGATCAGAGGGGGGTGTCAGGGAGGGTGAAGTCACGGCGCCGAAGGGCTGGAAAGAAAGCCCCTGTCAAGGAGGAATCTTCCGATGACGATGAAAGCTCTGAGGAGGAGTCGGGGAGCTCCTCTGGGAGCGAGGAGAAGTACGACGATGAGGAGGACGAAAGTGAGGATGCGGAATCAGAGTCAGAGAGTGAGGAGGAAGACAGGAGGAAAGGCAAGGCTCGGGCTGGACGCAGAAACGGATCTAGCGGAAAGCGTTGTCGCGCTAGGAAGGAAAAGAAAGGGCGTAAGAGGGGGAGGCCCCAAGAACATGCACCAGCCAAGCGCTCAGAACGTGGGGAAACCCGAGTGGGTAAGGAGCGGCGTACTTTGAATGCCGATCTCGGGTTCTACAACAACATGAAGGTTTTGGGGAAAACAGTAGATGCTACAGCGGAGAACCGACGGGAAAGCATTCGCAAGAAACGGGGGGCTTCAGACGACCCCTATGCGGCACTCGCTTCAGGTTCCTCGTTGGGAAGGAATGCCCAGCCGGTTCGTGGGCGGAGTGGCATCAAAGTTGAAGTCCAGCGTGTTGCTGACAACCGTAAGCATGGAGGAAGTGACGATGAGGAGTGGGGCATTGGGCAGGGTTTTGAGCGGAGTAGTGGCGTGCAGGTCGGACTCCAGGGCGCAGCTGACGGTGGCAACCCTGGTGCTGGAGGTCAGCCAGGCGACGGTCGACCTAGTTGTGAGGCTTTTGGTAAAACAGATATTGGGCCTGAAGTCGCGGTAGAATCCGCAAGGTGCAAGCAAGAGGTTGCGGCAGTTGTATTCCCTTTCAGTAGTGCTGGTGTATCACCCAACGCGTCCATGCAGCAATTGTTTCAGGCATTGCAGGAAGCGAATAGGCAGATTGCGGAGCTGAAGGCAGCACCAAGGCCCCTGGGAAATTCTGCTGGAGTAGGAATGCCAGTTCCACCTCTGCAGGCGATATCCAGCGAGCTACCCTCCCAGGAACCTGAGCCCGTGTGTGTGGCGGAGAGTGCTGTACAAGGACCGCCCATCGCTAGGAGACATGGGATGCCATCTGCCACGAATTTGAGGGTCAGTTGCCCTTCCCCAACCCGTAAATCTGTTTCCCTGCATGCCTTGCTTCGCATCCATCTCTGTTTGCCCCGTTCAAAGCATGCTGTGCTCCCCAAGCATCTTAATTTGCACCTTCCCTGCATGCCTTGCATTGCATCCATCTCTGTTTGCCTCATTCAAAGCATGCCCTGCTCCCGTTGCATCCTAATCTGCACCTTCCCTGCATGCCTTGCTTCGCATCCATCTCTGTTTGCCCCGTTCAAAGCATGCCGTGCTCCCCAAGCATCCTAATTTGCACCTTCCCTGCATGCCTTGCATTGCATCCATCTCTGTTTGCCCCATTCAAAGCATGCCCTGCTCCCCATGCTTCCCAATTTGCACCTTCCTTGCATGCCTTGCATTGCATTCATCTCTGTTCGCCTCATTCAAAGCATGCCCTGCTCCCCATGCATCCTAACCTGCACCTTTCCTGCATGCCTTGCAGTGCAGTCATCTCTGTTTGCCCCATTCAAATCATGCCGTGCTCGTCATGCATCCCAATTTGCACCTTTCCTGCATGCCTTGCAGTGCAGTCATCTCTGTTTGCCCCATTCAAAGCATGCCCTGCTCCCCATGCTTCTCAATGTGCACCTTCCCTGCATGCCTTGCATTGCATTCATCTCTGTTTGCACCATTCAAAGCTTGCCCTCCTCCCCATGCATCCTAATTTGCTCCTTCCCTGCATGCCATGTTCCATGTTTTCCCTTTCGTTGAATACTTCATTAGCTCTACATCGAGGATACCAGGAATCGCATGTGCATGGAAGCTGACGACAACGAAATCAATTTCTACCCATCTTTTGAGAAGAGGATCTTGGTCTTGCACGCGGTCATATCAGAGAACTACATAGTGTCTTTGATTCAGTTGAAAGAGGTCATGCAGGACCAGAAACGCATTGAAACTTTCAAGCATGTTTGGACGCAATGGAAGAACGAGCGCGCCTTCTATATCAAAAGGGCGGTGCTCGAGGC